TAAAATAATAAATATTGTATATAATGTCTCTTCTTCTTCATAAGATGATTAATGTAAATTTATCACAATGAATAGACAAGTTACAAATATAGGAAAATGTTAAATTAAGATAAAACAGAATCGAAAAGAAATGTTACAATTACATTTAAATTTAGCCTCATTTCATCAGGGATGGAACGACGTTGGCTTTCACGGTTCCGGTCAGATCCCAACACCGAATATCGATGCATTAGCATACTCTGGGTTGCTTCTCGACAGATATTACGTCACTCCGATATGTACACCGTCTAGAAGTGCTTTAATGACGGGCAAATATCCCATTCACACTGGAATGCAACACAGCGTAAGTGTTATTGTCGCAACATCTCATCAACTTTCTCATAATTTATCAAGATTTTATGCACCTAATATATTAAAAATAGATAATAGAGAAAATTCGCGCGAGCACAAATGAGAACAATAAGCGATTCTGAAATAAATTTACTTTATAATACGATCAAATTCACTCGTTTAAAATCTAAATGTATCTCGGTTTTTAAAAAAATATTACAAGTTGCTTATTAAAATCGCGATTCAGTTTCTTTTAACTCCTACACTTGTCAATGAATAAATACGATTAAGAACTATCAATTAAATGTCACGGAAACATTGTTGTTCTATTTGCAGAAGAGTACAAAAGGGGATATTGTGCACTTGTATTCTCTTTTGTCATGTTGACCTGGATAGTTCAATTGGAAATTATCATACTAAGCGATAGATGTTGCTACTTCATTCGCGTTTTCGCTTATACCTATACGCGCGTATCTACATACGTAGCTAACAAAAGATCGCATTCAATTCAATCCATCTCTTGCTATCACGATATTAATAACGTTGAATGAATAATGCATCTTTCATGCAATTTTCTAATTTATATTAAAAGAATTTCTAAGGGTTTTTCTAACACTCTAAAAATCTTTTAAGAGATGTTTCAGATAAAACATTTCTTGATCCTTTTAGAAAGTTAAATATTGTATATTTGCAAAGTTCATTTTAAAATTAAATTTGATAAAATAAATTCAAGGTAAAATCTCTCTCCTGTGCAGATTAGTTAAAAATTAGTTGAAAATGAAAATGTATGAAAAAAAAACATTTTTGTTGAACTATCTAAAAAATTTAGTTAAATATAAATCTGAAAATAATTTTATTGGATTATTCAGAGACACGGTAGTGTCTCGGCGCTAAGAAAACATGTAGTGTTTTCAAAATTACATAGAAATCTCAAACATAATAAACAATGCTGCGAAAACTTTTGATATTCAAACTATCAGTTAGAGAGATTATCCTATATAATTATTTGGATAGCTCAATAAAATTATTTTCAGAATTGTTTTTCAAACCTATTTAAATTTTTTTTTAGATCTTTAGCAAAGCTATTCTTTCTTTGTTTGTTTCTTAATTTTAGAATTATGTAAGTTTAATTAAAATTTTTCTTGAATATAACAATTGCGGTTGCAAACAAAAATTATCAAGATCTGTAATTTTGTGGCATTATCAAAATAATTGCACAGAAATTTCAAGCGATAAGCAATACTGCATAAAATTCTGTCATTCTAGCAACTAGTTTGAGTATCCTACATAATATTGATGATTATATTGATAGTTACTATATATAAATGATTATGTAAATGGTTAATGGTTATACTGATAATTTAAAAAATTATTTTCAGATCTATTTTTAATCAAAATTTTAAATACTTCAGTAAAATTGTTCTTTTCATGCATATAACATTGAATATATATCGATAGAATATACGTATATTGATACATTCTTCAAAACATTTTTGAGCAAAATCAATAAAAAAAAAACCTTCTTTTTTAATGACAAAACAATATTTTTAAAAGGGTTAATAAAATCAGCAAAATTTTTAATCGGGTTTGTTAAAAAATGGTATATATTATTATAAAAAAGAATTTTTAGTTCAACATTTCGACTTGAATAAATCAGGTTCTCAAAGGTGCGGAACCGAGAGGATTGCCACTTCACGAAAAACTCTTGCCGGAATATTTGCGAGAACTTGGATATAACACGCACATTGTTGGCAAATGGCATCTAGGATTTTACAAAAAGGAATATACTCCCACTTACAGGGGATTTGATACTCATACTGGCTTCTGGACAGGTCATCATGATTATTTTGATCACACGGCCGTTGAAAATGTGAGCGATTATGTACTAAATAAAAGCATAGTTTTTATGATTTAATAATGTGATAAAAATGCAGCCTTACTGGGGATTGGACATAAGACGGGGTATGCAACCGGCTTGGGATCTGCATGGTCAATATTCTACGGATATTTTCACGAAAGAAGCGGTGAGATTAATTGATAACTACAATTCTAGTCGATCGATGTTCCTATATTTGGCCCATGCGGCCGTGCATTCCGGAAATCCTTATAATCCGCTCCCGGCGCCAAACGAGGAAGTGGCTAAATTCAATAATATCTTTGATTACAATCGAAGATGTTTTGCAGGTAAAAATGTTTAAAGGATAGAAATGAGAGTTAATACAAAATAGATTGTTGATTAAATAGAAAATATATAAAATTTTTAGGAAATACAACGAGACTCAAAATTTGTACTAAAGAGAAACAGATTGATAATCTTAAAATTTTGCTATAGGTATGCTAAGCAAACTAGATCAATCCGTGGGCCAAGTAGTTGACGCTCTGCGTAAAAGAGACATGTTGCGAGATAGTATAATCATCTTTTCGTCGGATAATGGTGGACCTGCTGCTGGATTTAATTTGAATGCAGCGTCTAATTGGCCACTGAGAGGAGTAAAAAATACTCTTTGGGAAGGTAATTTTATTTGACTATTGATAAATTAGATGATTATGCAAATTTTTTAATTTTTTTAATTAAAATGTTTTGATTAACGAATAAATTTTATTGGATTAGCAATCTTTAAAAAAAATTATTTTCAACTATACTTTTTATAATATTATATTTGTAATTATATTTGTTATATTAGTGTATTTGTATTTTTAAGAACTCTCGAATTATTCGAGATTATGATATATCACTCAAATGTGAAATTAAGACTTTATTGAGTATCTTATAAAAATTTAATTAAAAAATTCACGTTTTAAAAATCATTTTTCATTTTTAATGTCTTTTTAATTTTGTTATTGCAGGCGGTGTCAGAGGTACGGGATTAATATGGTCACCCAGACTGATGCGACCTGGTCGCGTAAGCAGGCAGATGTTACATATTACTGATTGGCTGCCGACGCTTATAACAGCTGCTGGTGGTAATCCATCGAATTTAACTGTCGATGGCATGGATTTATGGAATGCGCTTAGCGAAGATACTGAGTCACCGCGCGCAAACATTCTTCATAATATTGATGATATTTACGGTGTGTCTGCTATAACGGTCGGCGACTGGAAGCTCATTCGGGGTAAAAGAAGGACTAAGATATTTTGTTTTATAACAATTTAAACTGGAATCGTACAACACAGATTAGTCCAGTAATATTGCAACGTTATTACAACGTTATTGCAACAATATTACAGTAACATTGCAAACATTGCAGCAATATTGCTGAAAGCTTCTGTCATGTATGGGAGGACAACAAACGTATCTCATATTGTATTTTTTCTTCATTCTCTATATTATAAAATATAAATTCCTAGCAATATTGCAGCAACCTTGTAATGTTGCTGCAATATTATTGAAACGTTTTAATATATTTCTTGCTTATTGAGAATACATAAATATGGAATAATGATAAATATGTATGTACAAATACATGAAAAGAACAATTACTAGAATACCTAAAAATTTAGCTAGATACAGATCAGAAAATAATTTTGCTGTCCTATTATATAAATTATGTAGAAAACTCAAGTACGACAAAAAGTTTTGATATTTTATTAATCAGCTTGTTCCACATAATTATGTTAATAGTTTGGCAAAATTATTTTCAAATCTGTAGCTAAATTTTTGGATACTTCTGCAAAACCTTTCCCTGTAGATATTGATTCAACTCGGTTTCATATAGGATCTACTTACAAAGGAGCATGGGACGGATGGTACGGTCCATCTGGTAGAGAATGGGTCTACGACGTGGACGGGGTGATTAACAGTACAACAGCACATGCCATCGCCAGTGTTGGATTAGGCATTACTACAAATGTTGTTTTGATGTTGCGTGAAAACGCATTAATCAAGTGTCCGCCACGGAATGACAGTCTGCCCATTTGCAAACCATTGGAGGAAGCATGCCTCTTCAACATCTATCAGGATCCTTGCGAAGACAATAATCTTGTTAAACAGTGAGTGAAATACGATATTATTTCGATATAATTTATTAACAAATTTTATTTTATTTTAATTTTTAAATGAACTTCGTAATCAACTTGTTCTTTTTTTTTTTACATCAAAGGTTTCCTACAATCGCCAGGAAACTGCAGGACGAACTGAAAAAGTTCAACAGTAGCGCACTTCTGCCCGGAAATCTTCCGTGGGACAGTAAAGGCGATCCGAATTTATGGGATCATACTTGGAATAATTTCGGAGATTATATTAATGTTATGGCTGCAACCTGATCAATTTTCTCAAATCTTATTTTCGAAAATCTCAAGAATTTCATCTTTTCTTGTAAAATACAATTCTTATAAAACCAGAGAATGTGCTGCCCATGTTAGTCCATATTTATAGTCCATATTATATATGCGAAAAATTTGAAATGACATTAAATTAAAGATGTTATTTTATTTATAAGATGATGTATCGACTTTATGTTTTATTGCTCAATTTGTTAATGTAATTTTACAGCAGTGATTTTGATATATTTAAAAAAGAATACATGTGTATATAAAGAACTTTATTATAGGCAAATAAATCGAAATAAAAAATTAAAATGGTGACTATTATTTCTTAATTATTATCGAATGACTTTGAGTTGATACTTCGAATTGTTAAAATAGGATTTCCTGTCATTATGTTATTTTCCTATAAATTTCTAATATAATCGATATTAGATTTATCTAACTGATATATCTCCATCATTTGGGCGCATCTGAAACATGAAAGTGCTTTATAATGTGCCAATTTTTACGCGTGCTAATATAATACCGCTTCAAAGATCAATTACGTACGTATCATACAAGTTTTTCAGTACGCATAAATCGCAAATATGTCATTTTAATGCTTAATTTGTTATTAGTAATTATTGCTATCAAGAAATAAAAGTGAAAGAAAATGATGGTTTCGATCCATGCTACTAAATGAACTTTAAGAACTTGTTCTCCTTGTGATTGTTTTACCCGCAACGAGAGGGAACCCATTCGAGTCTACTCGAGCAGATTTCTTCTTTCTTGTCGCAAGTGCATTTGCACAATTTTTCATTCCAGACCATCTGGCGTTCTTTATCACACTCTCTTTTATTCATGCATTCGCACGCACAGTTATCTTCCGAATATACCTGATGAATATTGCAATGATTTTCTGTCACGCTACATTGACATCTAAAAAAATCATATTCTCTCTCTCTCTCTCTCTTTCTCTCTCTCTCTCTCTCTCTCTCTCTTCAACGATGAACATAAGACAAAATTAATATTGATAATGGACTTGTTTTATATCGAATTGCTTTTGGTCTAAAAAAGTGCTTCTGCTTTTCTAGTTTTTTTTAGTTACTGAAAATTCTAATTGGCAAAAATTTAATTACAGAAAAGATATAAAGCTTTGATATGCTTGAAATTTGTCTCTCTATAAATAAAGAATTAAAGTTCCAGTTCGGAAATTACGAATTATCTTAAAAATAAACAATTGAAATATAAGATTGTATGCGTTATTTATGTGATTGTATTATTTTTTTCTTTCCAATCGTCAAATACTAAGCAAGAAGAAGAAACATAATAGCAGAATGGAAAACTATCTTACTTGCATTTGATATGCTCCTCGAGCAACACGTGATAACACTCGCTTGAGTCATAACCGTCCATTCTCACTGCGATCTTTTTAACATTTTTGCGAACTGGCATGCATGATTTATTCCTCGGACAGAAACCACTGCATCTTTTTACCGAGGCATAATTCGGATAAAAAGTGTAGCCCGGTTGCGGTATTAATTTTACCATAGCGTGCCTTGGCACGCACATTACCTCTTTCATCTGATTATTCAATTGCATACGTCTTCCTGCGCATCCTAAAAGTATAATTGAGAAATTCGCAAGAATTTATTTAAAAAATCAGCCATCTCTGTATCCGATTGCTTGAAAAATTAATAAGAAAATAAGTCACTGTTATATATTCAACTCTTTGAGTTACTAATAAGCAATTGTTATTAGTAAAGTAAGTAAGAGGTCAATGATTATCAGTCCGTTCAATAATTTCCGTAATAGAAA